GGTCTCGGTCCGGTTGTTTGATTCGCACCAGAGTTCGCATGAGTTTATTCACACCTGCACAAAAGGTCCGGACCAAYGCTGGAAACGAACTCTGGTTCGTTTAAAGCGGAGCAAATYATCAGGTCTGAATACGACCTAAATATTGGCCGATCACCATTCTCCCAATATTAAGGAAATCAGGAGAAYCCCTACTTTCTAGGCTTTGGGTTGTCAAAATATTGCAAACAAATGATCGTTACCAAACCCAGCTTTTGCATAAAAACATAAAATTGAAGAATTGGTTAATAGAAACAAGTCTGTGTCGTTAGAGTCAAGTTCTTGTTTTGTTTGACCCAGGACTGAGACGGATGCTGTTTTTTCCTTTGTTTGTTTTTTACCAAAAAATATTTCATGAACAAGGCGGGTTTTGATGAAACTTTCAGGAAACAATAACTCCACAGATGCCTAACCTTTGGATCCAACATGTCCACAACACAACGCACAAACACTCCGAGTGTGACAGTACAGCACGAGAACACTTTTTTTTCACCCGACAGTCGTTACGAGAGAACCAAGCTTAACCCTCCTGCTGCCCTTGGGTCATAACGACCAGATGGGAGCAGGAGGATCAGCGCAACCCATCTCTGATCATCACACAAACCGATTTCTGACACATAGTTTTTTTTAACGGCTGCTCAAAAAGCAGGAAAGAAAAAACAAACTTTGAACATGTTCATCATCATAAACACACACCTGCATTTTATGCATGCATATTATCCATCTGAATAAGGCAAACCGTCTCAGYGGGCACCAACGCTTGCCTCTTTTGATGTTTAATTAAAACCGTATCGAGGAGAGGGGGAGCTTTGTCGTTCGTTGCTCCGTGTTTTTGAAAAATATGCTAATGTCAATAAAAATGCATTAAAGAAACATACTACCAGTCGCTGACGGCTGCACTGTGAAAGGCAGGAAGGATGAACAGACGGGGGGGAAAGTAACTAAACAAATGGGGTTAGAACTGCATTCACCAGAAATAATGAAAGAGAGCAAAGCATCTATGCGCCTGAATTGCCTTTTCCAGTGTTTAATTTATTCGCAGCTCAGCTGCTCTAATAATGCAAATGAGTTTGGGCCCTTCCCGTCGCTGACGACTGGAGATAACTTCAGGATTCAGCGACGCCCAAACGACTGAAGGACGGACAAATCTTTCTCGTTTTATCAGCCTCTGTCGCCACCACAATGAAGGCCCACAATTCTTCCGGACAGAGTTACACAACGTGTGTGCTGGGAGGATTTCTTGCTTGAGGTAATGTGACACCATGCAGCATAAGCAGATTACTCCCGCTTCATCATAAACGCTCAGCTATCAGCGTCCGGACGGCGAAGGAGCCAAACTACTTCCAATTCTGGAAGCGATTAACACGAGATGAGGCCTTTAAATCACCTCTAAAAGATTAGGGAGGCACTTGGACAAATAAACTGTAAATTTCCTCCCCGAAAACGGAGGTTTCGATGGCTTTTTGTGCGAATGCCTTCGAAAACATTTTTCGGCTAATTGGGGTGAAGCGAGCGTTTAACGGGAGGAAATAATGGACACATTCATGCTGGTGACAGCTGAAAACAAGCAAAACTCTGAATCTTTTAGTTGACTTCTTTCCTTTTAAGCAACTGATGATACGTTTGCAGTGTGCCTGTGARTATAACACTGATTGGGCTGCATCGAGAGCGATAATTCTCCTGCCCTCACACAGAACAAGTAGTTCAAAACCTCACTTAAATCTTGAAATTTTAGATATTTCCACCTTTAGTTGCTTCCTTTCTTTCCATAATGGCAATATGAATCTAACATATTTAAAAAAAAAAACATCTGAACCGCAGCCCTAAAAGGGCTTTTATGTTCAAAAATAGTAGGAAACTGAGATCTGCACATTGGATCAGGGATTTCAGACAGAGTTGGTGATGAAGAGAGGGACTATTTGGGAATCGGTGAGGTTAAGAGCTGGTGTGCACCACAGCATGCAGTAAAAGAGTCAGAGGTAAGCAGCGCTTAGGCAGGTGGGAAGAGGAATAGCTTTTTTTTTCTTCTGTGTTAGACAGGAAAGAGAAGACGCAGAGAGCAGGAAGAGGGAGAGACTTCTCCAACCTCACGGGTCACATCTTTGCAAGGAGAGTAAACAGAGAGAGAGGGGGGAAAAGGGACATTAATGACACAAACAGACATGTGGAGACAGTGGGAACAAGGAGAAAAAAGAAAGCAGTACAAGACCCCCTCCTGTCAGGTCCCCACGGAGCGAGGGGAAAGCCTTCACCCCTCAGAATCCACCTGATGAGGTCGCCCACTGGGTGACCCCACCGTCTACCTGCGCCCAGACAGCCAAGGAAGACGGCCACACGGACAAAGACAGACATTCAGACAGACTGATGCACTGAAACAAGAAAGAACAGTCGTTTTTTTTTATACAAGAAGACATAAAGACAGAATAAAAAAAGACGACAGAAACCTCTGGAGTGTTAGACAAGCACGAGTAAAGGAGTCAAAGACAAAGTGCGGATGAATGAAACATGAAGTTGGCGTTTGGTTTGTCGGTTTGAGATGAAGGTATGAAAGCGTGACAGGGGTGAGGAAATAGATGAAAAGTGAAGGCTCTTTTTTTTTTTTTTTTGAAACACCCAACCTCCCCCACCACCCTTTAGAGAGCACCAGCCAACCTATCAAACAGCATTCGGGAAAGTTTAGACGCGCAGCGAGTCGACCTGGGAGACTTCAGACAGGAAAACAACGAGACAAGAAGGTCTGGGATCAGCCTCCGGGATCCACTCACCACAAGGACCCGGGTGCTTGACGGGGATGAGACTTTTGCTCAAACACTCTTCCTTGCGTCGCCAACAGTCGTTGTTATAGCTGCGGCCGTCCTTTCCACAGATGGGCTTGTAGCTGCCGTCACAATCGATGGGATCACAGGAGCAGCGGGAGCCCAGCTCCTCCACCAGACACACAGAATTAAACAGGCACTCTTCTTTACAGAACTCTGCGAGGAGAACAAAAGAGATAAAGAAATTAAATACCTCAGAAATGGTAAATGGTGCTATTCATCAATAACCTAGCCTTAAYCCCTTCTCATTTTCAGACTGATCAAACCATTCAGTGACCACTTTAGCCCCGGAAGCGTCCGCATTCACTCATTTGTTCAGGGTTTTTTTATTTAATTTGACACACATCTGTGCAGACGCCGATAAGGCCGTTTGGAGTGGCTTCCAACAGAAAGTTTGGTGCCAGCGTGACAGACTAATCGCTACAGAGGAGAGGACAGGAGACGTACCCAACAGGCGTAAAAAAACAATATTCAAAGCAATGAAAGAGTTGAAATGACTTCTGTGAGCGTTGTGCCTCTGCCGGCCAAACCTCGGGGAAATAAATCAGTTTTTATCCAAACAGTAATAACATGTCAGGGAGGACTAAAGTCRTTGGCTTTGTGTGTAAAAGCTTCTCTTTCAGCAGCAGAGGTTAAAACCTTTCATGTAACCACATTAATGAGAGAAACACACTGACACCATGTAACAAGATTTGAAAATCCGGTTCTATTGGACTTTATCAAGTAAACTGAAATTGTTTCTGTCTGTGGCAAATTATCCCACAATGAATGGATTTTACTGGAACTTTCAGCAAATAAATACAAATGCAAATAAATATCTGCRACTGACTAAATTTTGGAGGGAAACCAGTTAAAGATGGCTGCCACAGCTAACCGACATTAGCTTAAGCCTGTTGCGGTAAGCAATAAATCAATAAATCGCACAACAAATTAAAATGAGGTCAACAATTTTAATTTACTGCTTTTTTAAAATTCATGTCTCCCTTTTTTCTACTCCTTAGCGTATGGAGGAGTGAACTCTAGCATCAGGCATTTGCCAGGTGCTCGGTCGCTAACCTCTGTAGCATGAGAGCAACGGGAACAGGCATTTAGCTCGAGGAGTGTTTTTGGTTTTCAGACGCCTTCTTTCAGCTGGCGTTACATCAAGACGCCCTCAGGACACCGTGYCAAAACACGGGTTTGCACAGAGTTGTATTATAATATGTTTTTGTAAATTTTGTGTTTTTTTTATACGTAAATTTCGTAAACTTCAGAAGCAGTGTGGAGCCAGAGGAAGACACAAAGAATACAGTGGTGCCTTGTGTTAAAAGTTTAACTCATTCTGAGATGGAGCTCTTAACTCAAATCACTTGTATGTCAAATCAGTGTACATAGAAATRAACTGAAATGCCCTTAATCTGTTCCGGACCCCCCAAAAAAAACTGCTATTTTTTGTTAAATATTTTTATATCAGTAAAATCATTATGAATAACAAAAATTGAATAAATACAAAACAGAATGTATTTTAGTATTTTTGTATTTTAATGTATTTTTCGCAATGAAGTACAGTAGTTTTATTAAGTATGTACACTGTAAAAGGTACAGCTTCAATATGGTGCRGACTGTGGAAGTGCTGCGCTCGTACTGCTTTGCTAAGTCGACTACATGCACACCTTTCTCGTGTTTTTTAATAATTTATTTCTTCAGCTCAATGCACAACATCCGCTTCTTTTTCTCAGCGTCATCCTTTGCTCTCACCTGTTTTGGTCCCATAGTTGGCAAAAGCTGGTTCGTGAAGTTTTGGAACACACATGCTTTAACCGCGAGCTAACTGCTTAAAGCTAACGAGTGAGACCTTGAACACCTGTTGCTGTGTTCACTMCTGCRTTYRGCGCCATCTAGCAGTGGGGCGTATGAAGTTCGCTCGTAACCCAAATTTTAGCTCTCAACTCAAAGCAAAAATATATCTGAGAGACTGCTTGTATCTCAAAAAACTTGTTAGTTAGGACACTCTTAAGTCAAGGTATCACTGTATACAGGAAGCAATTTTAAAGCTTCAGTAGCTGCTGTTGGGCGTTTCTTTCTGAATGTCTGGTCCAGGTCAGTTTGTTACCTTTTTATTTTATGTATGTAAATTTCCTAAACTTTCGTAAGCTTTGTAAGCAGAGGGGAGATCGCTATATTAGTCTAGAATGGTCTCCAAACAATATTTTTATTAATAATATTATTATCGTGATTTCCAAAAATAATTTCTGTCTAATTTAATTTATTATTGTCACATCTTACAATATTGCATAAAATTTTATTTTTATTGTTTAACCAAAACAGCAACAATTTTGCACTTAACATAACGATCTCAGTCTAAAACTATGCATGATTTGTATTTCTTCAAAGAGTTTTAGGTCTTTAATTTGGAAAAGTGTTGGACTTTTTTAGTTTTAATAAATAAATGTAAAAAAAAAAACTAAGATTGGAAAATTTAGAAGGAACAGGGTCAAACTTCTTTAAACCATAATAATAAAGTTTCTCAAAAAACTTGAGCATTAATCGCAAATTAAACTTTAAAGTTAATTTAAATTCAGACCATTATATYCAGAACACTTTGAGTTACTTAGCAGAGATCTACAGTGTGAATTAAGAAAAACGAAAGAAATGTTGGTAATGTGACACGGCACATTTGCCACTGAAGTGAGAAAATCCAATTTGAAGGTGGCTTCTTTTCTGGAGGCACTCGCCAGACTTCAAATTTATTTCCTTCCTGATCAGTGGATTAAATTTGTACAGCAATTCAATTCCTGCCCCTCTTTTCTTTAAAAGCTTGTCATGCCACATTTAATTACATCGCTGCTCTGTCTGAGTGAGGGGCCTATGAGGATGTGCAACGTGCCGGTTACAAGTCGAAATGGCCATTTTCATTAGTTACCAATTTGTAATTTGCTTTGGGATATGATTTCATGGATCTCTGTTTGAAATTAAATTACTCTTTTTATTTGAAAAAGCCGCAGCACAAAAGGGTAAAGAAATAGTTCATCCACTCGCTCACACGCGTGAACCCACTGCCGTGCACACAAACACAAACTCCCAAATCTCCTTTTGGCTGGGATTTATGCGCTTTAAAGCCTTCACACTCGTCCATCAGCCTGTCAAGCGGAGCAGGAAGCAGAACCAGAGTGTGTCAAAAAAAAAGTGCATATCAGCCCTCACTTCTGCCAGTACCAAAGGACACCGTGCACGGATCTGTTCTCGTGTAAGGGGGTCTTTGTGTATGGCRTGCGTCTCTGCACGTTGCCGCTATAAACCTGCACAGCTGCTCCCTCGCGGGGCCATTCCGACAACACGATGGGAAAATTGGATTTCCTCCGATGGCTATCAGGACGTACAGTAAAAGCTGACAGCTCTTTGTTGACTAAGACTTAAACCCCGTGTTCTAATAGCAAAGATAACCGTCCTGGAGACTCTTATCGGGCTGGACGAGGCTGAGGTGAGCTGGGATACGGCGCACCCTCTGCGACCTGAGAGTCATTTATCGCTGCATCGCGGAGGATTCGGTAAATAGGTTCTGATTTTAAACACGGTTCACCTGTTCTGTTTAAAGCTCCTGCCTCTTTTACGTCAACCTGATGCTTCACGGCTAAACTGGCTTTGTGCTCAACGAAACGGCCACTCTCAGAACATTAATCTTTACATAAACTTTCTAACCACTCGTTGTATTTTTGGATGCCAGAATGCTTTGAAAGAAAGTAGAAACTTGTGCTTTCTCTCCTGACGACTGACAGACTCATCTGTCTTTTTGTGTGAATGCTGATTCAGCATTCGCACTATTGTTCCCAATTTTCTGTATGTTTTCTGGCATCCAAATATTTCTGCATATTTTGTGCTATTTTAGTCAGTTTTACATCATAATTGACAAAGGCTGGGCGATATGTCTGAATAATGTATCATGGTACAAGTGTTTCATATCAGTCAATATCGATAATTATTGATTTGTTTTTTTTTTGTTTTACTTATTTGAAATAGGAAAAAAGGCTGATAAATACTGCCAAACTGGTGATGTGACCTCTCACAATTTCCTCTTTTCACTCCACATCCTTCTTTTTTTTATTATTATTATTTTTTTAACTTTTAAGCAGTTCTGAGGCACGGTGGTGAAACATGAAGCTGCTGCTGCACGTTACCCAACAGGTTGTTGCCAGCTTACCAAAGTGTGACTTAGGTGAACCTTGCTTAGCTTAGCCGTGAGAGGTCAAGGGGCTAAAGGAGGGCCACTCAACTGATGGCCCGGGGGTCACATCTGGTCTGCGAGGGCCAAAGTTTGGCCCGTCAATTGGCTCAGTCGTCTATCAAGCCCAAACCCCAAGTTTTCCACTTTAATTACTATGAGCTCTTTTAGTTAGACATAGACACGTGTGGTATCTACAGAAATGTCAGAATCTGGGCTAGAAGCTGGTAAAAACATTTCTATGAACATCCAAGACAGTTAAAAAAATTTTCAAAGGTAACAGATCTTTGTAATACTTGGTTTATTTACATAATGACTTTGATGGATGTTGGGACCCTATCTACTGTAATTGATTTATTGCCCAGCCCTATACTTAGCTATACCTTTTTTCAACACTAAGATGTTTTCAGCTCCATAAACTACAGTAATCTGCTTCAGCCTACATGCTGTATTTTTGTCTTTAACGAACATTTCCTAGTCTGAAACTGTTTTTGAATCACTTCATTTGCTGGTTTTTAGATCTCCACAAACAAAACCAACAAAAAAAAATCAGTCCCGAGTCTGAATCTGTACCTTTTCTTCTGCACGGTCCATCGTGGATCTTTTTCAGCTTGACGTCTTTCTGAATGCCCGTCGCCGACATGACACACTCGCTCGTGTAGGTCTGACCGTCGCTGGCGCACAGAGGCCCGTTTCCAGGCGGGCAGGAGTTGGGTGGACCAAACACAAGGGGCTGCCGGGTGACCGCCTCCACTCGACACACCACGTTCAGGTCGTTTTCTTTGTCCCGGCAGGGGTCTGTGGACAAGGTGACATCCATGAACAACGTGCCAGCAAAAACTTACAACAACTCTTACCCCTTTAATCAAATAACTCTTATCAAATAGTTGACATACATATACAAACATTAATAATATGATAGAGTTTTTCTTGATTTATTAATATAAAATGTGTAAATATTTAGTTCTTTACATTTGATAACATTCTGTAAGATGGACCTTTGGTGAATGACCAAAGTTGAACCACAATATCTATTCCACTAAAGTTAAAAGCAATAATGGTTTTCCTGTGCATCAAAATGGCCTCCACAGCTAAGCAGTCTTCGTAAATACAAAAAGTGAATATAACTCATTCAGTTTTACAGAAATTAAGCTATAACTCTCACATAAGATAATGTCRTTTACAAGGAATTGTTATAACTCCACCCTTTCCCATCATAAAAGGATTTTATTTTGAAACTCGGTCATGAAAGGCATTTAATCCTGTTTTAAGAGTTAGGCCTAAATTATCATCTATGTTTGCGTTGGAACTTGAGAAGAAGTGAGGCTTTACGAATCTTATCTTTGACCCGGGAGCTGAGAGCAGGACGGAGCGGGACCTTGGATGTGAAGGGCAGACAAGAAAACGGATGACGAGACCGTCGGTTTGATTTGCTCCCTCACACCGCCCTCCATCCAGAGGAGAGCTGGGATGGCGCGCTTTGCCCTATCGGTTCCTGATCATAATGGAATTGGTTTGCGGATGTGTGGGAAGGGGTGTGTGTGTGTGTGTGGGGCAGGGTGGGGTTACTACTGAAAACAGCAGCTTGGTTTTTTTTTCCAGCGTGCCATGCTTTCAGAATGTGGGAAGACAAAAGGATTTATGTAGCACTGTAACATATTAAATCACGGCCAAGATGTGGCGAGTCATTCAAAACACACAGAGGGCGAAACACCCCATCATCAGGGGGAAAAGGAGGAGGAGGAACGGGAAGGAGAATGAAAAAATAGAAAATATGAGGAAATGGTTTCCAAAGACCTCTGGCAGGGACAGAAGGAATGACAATGGCGGGGTATGAAAAGGGATGGAGCGGTTTGGAAGGCAGGGTGACCACTGTCCAAAACTGATTTCTACCAGCACAATGCAAAGGCTTGCAGAGACTCTACTGAGTAAACAAGGATTTAATCGTGATGCACGCAGTGTCTCTGCGTGAAGCASTGCCTCACCCGCCAGCCAGACCATTATCTGGGAGAAAGACCATTACCTCCCATTAACTGAGAAGAACAGCTTCCAGGAGCCATGCTTCTCTCTAGCTGAGCAAGTGGGGTAATTACAAAAAGAATGGCTTGTTTGGTGCAAAACTAGCCGTGTGGATAAATCAAATACATTTGGCCAAAGTTTTAGATCCGCAGAAAGATTTAGAGAAGCATCGAGGCCATCTGCTCCCCCGAGCCTCGGCCCTCCCAGGGGAGAACAGGGCAAACACGGGCGACTTCGGCCAACTCGTGCCGGATTTACACGACCAGCCTTCTGCCTGCGGATCTACACATCCATCTCTTTCAATCCCCACCACTCAGCGTTCCCTCCTGAAGGCTTTCGCTGCTCAGAGATGGACTTACTGCCTGTTGTGCTTTCACTCCATCTGGCTTGCCAGAAAAGTAAAAAGTTGAGCGCGCTGAGCGTAAACAACCATTGCCAGATGATAACAAGGGATGAGCTCAAAAAAAAAAAAAGAAAAAAAAAGAAAGAAACCCAGACGGAAACGACAGCTCTGAAGACCTACTTAGAGAAAACAACAATTCGCACCACAGGAATGCCTGCATGAAGCAAAGCAATCTAAAAAGAAAAATGAGAATTAGCTGAGGTGTGCCATAAGTAACTGGGGTACGTGAAAGAAAAACAACAACAACAACAACAAAGGCAGCAATAGAAAACAACAAAAACAGGAAAATAAGGAAAGAAAGTAGTAAAAGAAATAGAGGAGAAAGTTTGTTTTGAGTAAATAAGTAAATCAAACGTCCTGAATTCTGTCTTCAATGTGAGAACATGCTCCCCCCGCTCTGATTTCACTCATAAACACAAGTCTGGCATTCTTTGAAAGAAAGTGTCAGGGTTGAGTGGTATTGATCAATTAAAAATGTCATCAATAAAAAAAAATGCCACCATATTATATTACCGGGGTATACCAGATGTCGTCATAACTTTTTATTACGTCACCATGTTTTATTACTGGGGTAAACCAAAATACCATCATAATTTTAAATACATCACCATATGTTATTACTGGGATATACCAAAATGTCATATTTTTTAAATACATCCCTAATATTATATTACAAGGGGAATACCAGAACACTCTCATAATTTTTAAATACACCACCATATTTTTTTACCGGGGTATACCAAAACACTGTCATGATTTTTTAAATACATCCCTGTATTTTATTACTGGGGTATACCAAAATATGTCATGATTTTTAAGTACATCACTGTATTTTATTACCGGGGTACACCAAAATATGCCATAAATTTCAAACACGCCACCATATTTTACTACTGGGGTATACCAAAATACTGTAATGATTTTTAAATACATCACTGTATTTTATTACCAGAGTATACCAAAATATGTCAATTTTTAAATACACCACCATATTTTATTACTGGATATACCAAAATATGTCATAATTTTCAAATACGCCACCATATTTTATTACCAGGGTATACCAAAATGTCATAAATTTCAAATACGTTGCTGTATTTTATTACTGGGGTATACCAAAATGAAGTCATACCGACCAAGCCTAGAATGCTTATCGCCTGCTGCTGATTATGTCTCGGAGAGAAAACATGAGGCTCATTTCTTCCCAATTCTTCACTTTTGATTATTTTTGCCCAATTCAATCTCTAAAAAAGATGAAGCAAATCACACGTTTCTATAATAACCMCACAGACTAAACTCACCGCAGTGGCCCTGATATTGCACACGTATGTTCTTCTGGCTTTTGCAGGCGTGCTGGTGGAGCGCACACTCGTTGCGGTAGTCCCTTCCGTCGCTGCCGCACACCGTCTTCTCGGCCTTGCCGTCGCAGCCGAGGGGGCACATGCATTTGGCCGACAAGCCGTCTGACGACTGGACGCAAGTGCTGCCGTAGCTGCAGGTCACCTCTGAGCAGGGGTCCTTCAGGGCTGCAAGAAACAAAAGATGCGAAAAGAAAGTTTATTTAAAGCAGACGAGCAGGAGGAACTTTTGTCAGCAGTGGCAGAAAAAAAAAAGCTGCAGAATTCTCTCTGTGCACAGAATAGTGTCGCGGATGACAKGTTATCTTTGGGGCTGCTGGTACACTTTTAGAAGCCTGGTGCAGTTATGAGAACTACTTAACCCCCCCCCCCCCCCACGTAAGGTAAAGACGCACCGCCCGGCTGTCGGGCTCACGTTGCAGAGCCGTGTTATTTGGATTAGAAGCTTTGCTTTTACAACCTGTTCGCCACGCTTCAGCATGCTTTGATTGCTAAAAAGCGACCCTCTGAATATTTACCTTTTCACAAATTAGACCACAAGAAAAACAGAACAAAAAGGAGCAGACAGGTAGACCCCCACCCTCTCACCCCGAGGACTTTGTTTCCACCCTAATTAAGCAGCATGCCACTTGTTGCTAAGTGGTTTATTCTAATGATGGGAGAAGGTGCGACTTTTAATTTCATCTGCATTCTCAACCAGTAGCCCCCCCACCTCCACTTTTTTTTTAATGGGCTCGACAAAAAAGACAGGCAGCTGTGAGATTACAATCGCTGTCATTTCACAGCGTGACACATATTTATGACTGTCACGGCCAAACATGCTCTCCCATGAGACAGAAGGCGAGCACTGGCGGCTCCTCTCATTTCCTAAAGCCTCGACTTTCTTTCATGATAAATATTTACCCACATCTGATATTATCCCCCCCATTTTTTTTGTTACAAGCGCCATCGACGGATTTCATTTAAAGCAGGAGAGTGCACACGGAGGTGCATTTTTCTTTATATTCTTTCTTTATTTTTCACATGTCCTTACTCCAAAGACGGAAGAAAAATGTCTTTCTGGAAAATTCAATACTTGCCTGCAGGATGGAAAGGCACTGTGGTTTAAAAAAAAAGGCAGCAATGTGTGCAGAGATATGTATATTATGAATGTGTGTGGAGACAGGAGTGCTATAAGGAGAACTATTGATCAAAGGATTCCCCTACCTTGCTTTCCTCATCTTCATGACACATTTTCCCTCCTTTTTTTCCCCACTCTCCTGTTCTCCTGTCAAGTTCTTTTGAGGTCTGGTGCCTCAGACTCACTAATGAACACTTCTTTTTTTTCCATTTCGTATTTGTGCTGTACCGCTGGAAGAACTTTGAGACTGCCTCTAGACCTAATTTCATAAGTATCTTCAAAATAAAGTGCTAAATTACAGCTCTAACCAAAGGAGACTGGTGGAAAATGACTCGCTGAAATCAAAAATGATTACTGAAAATCAAAAGTTATTGTGAGCAGCTGATGACAGCCTGATGGCTTGCCTGTGTGAAGCAGATAGCCATTGTGATGCTTCGTGTCTGATCGTGTGAACAATGAGGCGCTGATGACCTCTGGGATACGGTGCTGCCGCAACAACCTTGTTTTATCTGCCGGGGCTATTTTAAATCACGGCAGCAGCACATACAGAAAAAGCTTTCTTTACTTGTGCAAAATAATTCATGCCGTGCTCCTCGGTTTGAGAAATAGCCTTCAGAGCGTAACGTTTTAATATACCTGCTGTTGGGACTGGAAGGCGTGTTTAAACAGAGCTTGTCGGGGAGCTTTAGGTTCCTGTAAAATGCTGCTTGTTTTGGTGGGAGTGACAGTAACAGCTGCTGGCGAACAGGAAGAAGAGCCCACAAGCTTCATCTGCAGTAAAGAGGGGCTTCTGTTTARTTTCTGGTAGAACGGCATGATGGGTGCGTGGGCTTCCTCTGTGGTCCCAACTTCCTTTCCCGTGAGCAGAGCCGGTGGAAGTAAAGGCCTTAGCATGCTCCGGCCAAACTGCTAAAACCGTCTCCCGTTGTCGCAGCTGCGTGACGAAAATCAGGTCGTTTTGTTCTCAGCTTTGAGTCTTCCCCACCAAAGTGTTGAGTTTGTGGGTGTGTTTGTTTATTCTGAAAGCCCTCGGACTTTGCTTCAAGTACTCACTTCCAGATCTGACTGTTGCACTCGGAAGCAGACATTTATAAAGATAGTCAAACGGAAGGAGATAAAATGGACGTTACGGACGGAGGAATCTGTGCACAAAGGTGTGGCGCTTTAACCGGGACAGATTTGTGGRCAAATAACAGAGTATCGGAGGAGTTATTTATCTTTTCCAAGGAGCTCGGCGTGTCTCAAGGACCACGAAAAGCACACGTGAAAAAAAAACAAAACAAAACAAAAAAACTATGATGTGACCACGACCATTCGGTTTCATATGTAGAGGCCTTAAAGGGATCCCTGATTAGTTGTAACATTGGACTTTATTTGATAAACATATATTTTAACTGTAAACTAAAGACTGTAAAAATACTGTAGGCTGTTTAGTTTTTTTAATTTTTAAACTAAAAGTTTAAAAGTATATTACACGGCCATTTTATTTACATGCAAAGCATTCTGGGTAAATGATGACGTGGATATGTCATCGGTGCGAGGCTGCTAGCGAGCTATATCCACCCTGAAGGTTAATCTTGGACAATATCTGACGATCGGCTCTTTTAAATGAAACCAGAGAGCGTTGACAGAGAGGAGAAGGTAGAAATGACTCAGCCTGTAACTGAAAATATGGATGGAGGACAACAGAGCTTTTTCATGGAAGAAGAACATCAGCTTAGCCTGTTAGCTTTAGCGTTAGCCCCGATGCTATCACCATATATATGTATTAACTCAGCGCTACACATTCTCCTCTCGTCACTGAGGTCCTCCATCCACATGACAGAGAGGAAAACACAAAAATGACTCAGCTTGAAACTAGAAAAAATGGATAAAGGACCTCAGTTTAGTGTGTTTGTTGCACTAGCGCCGAACTAATACATATAAGGCAATATAGCGTCAGCGCTAGCGCAAAGGCTAACAGGCTAAGCTGAGGTTCTTCTTCCATGAAGCAGCTCTGTTGTCCTCCATCCATATTTTCAGTTVCAGGCTGAGTCATTTCTACCTTCTCCTCTCTGTCAACGCTCTCTGGTTTCATTTAAAAGAGCCGATCATCAGATATTGTCCAAGATTAACCTTCAGGGTGGATATAGCTCGTTATCAGCCTCGCACTGAGGACCTACCCACGTCATCATTTACCCAGAATTCTTTGTGTGTAAATAAAATGGCTCCATCCTTTTTAAAATATATTTTTTAAAATTACAAAAACTATAAAGCCCACAGTATTTTACAGTCTTTATTTTACAGTTAAATGTTTATCAAATAAAGTCTAATGTTACAACTAATCGTGGATCCCTTTAAGAAGTAAGAGGTGCCAGGYTGAGGTAGAATAGAAAAAATAAAAACAGAGGTGTTGGTGAGGCTCTTGATTTAAATGCTAACAGGGGCCAATTTGGATATGAAGCGGAGCCTCGATGGGGCTTTAGTGCAGATAAGCCGCCCTTCTCAGACCCAGACAAGCAGACAAATTGCCTGGGCGAATGTGTTAGGTGTAACAAGCACAAATGAGAGAGAAAGGGGGGTGGGGGGTAAAAAAATAAAATAAAATAAAACATGCTCACTGCAGCAAACCTCTGGGAGTATATTTTCTCATTATCATTATGTGAAAGGTGAAAAAAAAGAGAAAGCAGCGGGGAGAGCTAAATAAAAGTCAGCAGAGCTGTCTACACAAAATTAGAATGCCAATTAGATCAGTCTCCTTTGCCAAAGTGAAGCGCAGCAAGGTTTAGACTGAGAAGATAATGAGAAAAAGATAAGAATACTGATAGATTGACAGATATAGGCACGGAGTGACACTGTAGCAACTAAATCCTCAAATATGCTCAAATGCAAGGTGAGGATTTCTGCTGTCTGATTGGGGGAAGAAGAAGAAACTTCAAGTACAACCTTCAATCTGATGTGTATGTGTGTATGTACACTCACCGGCCACTTTATTAGGTACACCAGGCTAGTAAAGGGTTGGACCCCCTTTTGCCTTCAGAACTGCCTCAATTCTTCGTGGCATAGATTCAACAAGGTGCTGGAAGCATTCCTCAGATTTTGGTCCATATTGACATGATGGCATCACACAGTTGCCGCAGATTTGTCGGCTGCACATCCATGATGCGAATCTCCCGTTCCACCAC